TGGAAAACATATAGCATGCTTTTTTGTAAGTGTAGTAATTTAGTACTAAAATTAATGATATTTCTACTTATTTGTAAGCTGGCAACAGAACTTTATAATTCTGTAGGCTTCCATATTGCTCATGGGAAACTTTTTTTGTAGTGAGATAAAAAATTTTCCTAGGGTTACTTGTTTATGCCTGAGGTTATGAATATGTGGGGAATAGTTTGTATTTGTATTTGGTGGTTTGATGGCAGATAATTATGTTCTACATGTTTATTTTGCTAGCAGTTATTGATGATTCTTATAAATAACGTTATACTCTAGAGTCTATACATTTGCCATAATATCCTCAGTATCCATGTAACAGTATTTAAAAAAATAATTGAAATGTCATTATGAAAAAACCTTTTAGGAAAAGCGCTTCTTTATAAAAGAGTCAGCTCCACTAATACATGCATGACACAGTATTTGATAAATCATGCAAAACAGTATTACCACAGATCATATTACTCAACAGCCATATATATATATATATATATTTTTTTTTTCTAAGTTGCACACTTATGTAGTATATAAGACAAAAATACATCCTTAAACAGCTTCTTCTTGTTTCTTAACAGTCCTAGGTTACGGTCTGACCCTGAAGAGACATTGTAAAGTTATAGATGTTTGTCTTCAACATTTTTGTCTACCTCTTTCTGAATTCTTTTTTATTCCTCAGTGTTGACCTTTACCTTCATCAGTCTTCTCTCCTTTTATCTCTGTGGCTCTTATATAAATCAGAGGTTACCCAGTGACATTTTGGAGACTTCTTACTTCTCTGGCACATTGTCTCCACCTAGATGTGACCTGGGAATGTCAACATTTAGAACTCTTCTGAGGATTGCTACTAGTTTCCTTAATAAGCACAAAGTCACTGTAAGGTTTCTGCCTAGAAGCGTTTTCTTTATGGTATAAAGGACAAGAAAGGACATGCTTATGAGCTCAAAGAGAATCAAGAGGCCATCCTACCTTGGAGACCTGTGAAGTCGCCATGATTTACAGTACTATCCTGGGGTTTGTTTCACCATGTTGGTACTCCCTTCCAAAGCCCCTTTGTGTTGCATTGCTTTTTTCTGGCTATCATTTTCAGTATTAGTTGCTCCTTCTTGTTTTGTTCTATGATATACTAGGCCAGAAGTAAGAGTTGGCATAATTCTTGCTTCTTACTACCACTTTGAGAACTTTGCCCTACCACAGCCACTTGCCTTTCCTCCATTAAGGTATACTTTACCTGTATCACTCAGAAGATTTTTGTTTCTTTGATCAATTAGCCTCTTGGTCACTGTCCCTTCTTTCTTAAGAAACTCAGTACCTGCACAGTGGATAGAGCACTGGTCCTGGAGTCAGGAGGACCTGAGTTCAAATCCGGCCTCAGACACATAATACTCGCTAGCTGTGTGACTCTGGGCAAGTCACTTAACCCCAATCGCCTCACCAAAAAAAAAAAAAAGAAGCTCAGTACCTGCTCATAGTCCTTATTGCATTCCAGCCTATGACTTCTTACTTGGTGACATCTGTGTGTGTGGGTGTATTTCTTTGTCTTAGATAGATTTATGTTATATGTATACATATATGCATGTGTGTGTGTGTGTATATACACACACACACACACACACACACACACACACACACCCCATATATTCATACAGATGTATAGAAGTGTTTGAGGGTACACATATGCATTACATATACGTTACATATACATATACATTACAGAATATTGCAATTGTCTCTGCAAAAATTGACGCTGTCATGAGCACCCTTATATCCTCTAATCTATCTAGTTAAGTTATATCTATATAGATATCTAGATCTCTCTCTGGATATCTTAGATAGACAGATAGATAAACAGATAGATGGATGGATATGCCCTCAAAACCCCAAGCTCTCTAGTTAATTAACCGTTATAACTCTATTTCAGGTACCTGTATGGTGATCATACCTTAGATCAGGCCTGCATAACCTGCAACCCGTGGGTTGTTGTGATGATCAAATGAGTTAATATATGTAAAGCACTTTGCAGACCTCAAAGAGCTATATAAATGATAGCTATTTTCTAGCAGGCAGCTAGGTAGTGCAGTGGTTAGTGGGCTAGACCTGGAGTCAAGAAGTCAAATCTACCTTCATACACTTACTTGATTTTTGACCCTGGGCAAGTCATTTAGCCTCTTTATGTCTTACTTTCCCCTTCTGTAAGTGGAGATAATAGTAGCACTTACCTCCTAGGGTTATTGTGAGTATCAAATGAAATAATATTTGTAAAGTACTTTGCATACCTTAAAATGCTATATAAATGCTAGCTATATTTGAGCTCTGCTCAAATCTTCCATGCTATTTTCATCCTTCTTTCAGCAGATAATGTTGCTTCCTATTTTTCCTGCCATAATTGAGCCCATCTGTAATGAATACCCTCATATCTTCCATTTCTTGTCTCAAAATCTATTTATATCTTCACTCATTCTCTCCTCCTTTGCTTCTGTCTGCAGAAATGGCTGTTCTTGCAAATTCTGATCCTTCTACTTGTGCCCTTTATACTATCCTTCCTATCTTTCCCAGGAGTTTGTCCCATTCATCCTTTTTTCTCTCTTTGATCTTCAGTCTTTCCCTGTCTACTGACTCCTTTTCTGCCACCTATAGACCTTTAAAAAACAAAATAAAACCAAAAACTACTTGACCCTGTAGGCTCCTTTGGCAATTACTTCTATCTTTATTTTCCCTTTTATTGCCAAACTTTTACAAAAATTGTCTATATTTGCTACCTCCATTTTCTCACCACTCACTCAAACACTGAGGAAAAAGAGCCAGGTACAGTCAATGTTTTGGCAAACTAAAAAACCCAGATAAAATTTTAATACAGTCTTTTTGAAACATTTGAATACAGAACAAAATAATTATTATAAGGATTGTGTTCATTGAAAGGTGAGTTAAGAACAGTGAATTAAGTATAGATTACAGGGTAATCTAACCTAATTATATCATCATTGCTTGGCATTTGAATAATATGAAATGTTGATTTCATAATTTTATTTAGTAATGGAGTATTCTTTTTAAACAAAGTGAGTTTTACCTCTTATGTTATAGTTTAAATTATTTGTTAGCCTAGTATACATTTTAAACATTTATATTCTATATGAGAGTTTGAATAAAGTATTTCCCCCCTGAAATCTGTATTGCCAGTTGGCCTAAGATAATGTAGAAATGAAAACTTTTCCAGTGTTTCAGTAGCTGTGTTCTGTGTAAAAAAGAGGTGTAATTTATTTTCTTCTTTGTATTATAGTTTAGAATTGAATATTCTTAGTATAATTCAATTCACAAAGAATACCATTTGATTTTCTCTTGAACTGAATTTTAAGTACAGTTTACCTATTTACTAGTATTTGAAGTTTGCCTAATGTGGATACAGTTGATCTCTCTGGAGGACATTTATCCGAAATTTATCCAAGAACCATGAATTGAGCAAAAGTGGCTTAGATGTGTCACATAATCAAAATTACGAGGACTTTATTCACAGCAAAGCTCTTAAAGGTCCTTATTGAATACCTGCTTATACTTTAAGTGTATTGAAACCAAAGAAGCTTGAATGTCTGGTTTGCTAGGCCACAGAACAGTGTTAGGGAATGGTATGATAGTAAGAAAGGGTAGTTGATAACTTAACATTGTGAAATTCAGAAACAAAAACTCAAAACAGTCTCTAACATGTTTTTATGTTTTACATATGTCTGTGCAAGTATAGATATGTATGTAATTTTGAAATTAAAACAAACTTTTGTACCCAGTAACTCATGAAGACATTGTATTATAGCCTAGTGTGATAATTGATGCTTATAAGGAAGACCAAGAGTCAATTAGTTATTTGTTTATTAAGTGAAAGTTAAAGTGTACATATGCATTATACTCTGTTTATGAAGATAAGGCAACTGCATAACACATTTTTAGAATGATTTCTGTCCAGAATGGTTAAAATAAAATGTTAAAAAGAGTTATCAAAAATTTTTCTTATGGGGGGCAACTAGGTGGTACAGTGGATAGAGCACTGGCCCTGAAGTCAGGATGACCTGAGTTTAAATTCGACCTCAGACCAAGCACTTGACACTTACTAGCTCTGTGACCCTAGGCAAGTCACTTAACCCCAATTACCTAAAAATGAAAAAAAATTTACTTATGTGGAATGATTCATAGCTTATTATACTGGACAAATTCAGTGATAATGAATACCATTCAATTTGTCTCTGTTTTAGAAGCAATATCCTCTTTTAAGCTTTGGCCCTCTCACTTTGGGTACTTTCCTATTAAAAATGTTACCAAACACTCTTTACTTCTCTGTATTTTGTTTGGCACATAGCCTTTTCTTCTAGTTTCTCTCTCATCAAAGGAAGAAAAATTAAAGAGAGATCCATACAAACCTGCAAATAATAGAGAAAAAGTTGCTTCCTCTTGGATGATGGGAGAAGACTTTTAGGTTTCTTTCAATTCTCATGATTTCAGAAGCATCTCCTTTAGATTACTTTTATGAGTGCCTTAGTAATATTGTACTATTCAAAATTTTAAAAGTGTCTTAAAAACACACTTTAAAAGAGAATATTAAGTTTTCTTTCATGCCATTTTTGATGAGAGCATTTTCCATTTGTAGACCTGGAAAATTTGTGGGAGGCCTGGTGTCCTATTTTTACTGATTCCTATTCCTAGCCTTTGGCATTGCGTTTGAATTGTTGGACTGGAGAACAGGGACCCACTTGGGCCATGTCAGGAGCAGTGGTGAAATGAGGGGAATACTTCATTCACTGAAATATGGAAATCCATCATACTATACCCTGGAGAGTAGGGTCATCTACACCAGAGACAGGATCACCCAAGAAGCAATTTGGTAGGTGTCTTGGGTCTGTGGATGGTGACTTTATCCACTATAGTTACAAGATAGCACAGATATTTTTCTTTTCTTAAGTTATAAGAAAAGATACTATGTTTCTGTCTTTCAGAGAAAATCAGGAAAGAAATGACAGCCAAAGGTTCTACAGGAATGGATGTTCTACTCTCAACATTAGAGGTAAATACCTAAGGCTTAATAATATTTGTAGTTATGATTTCCCATGAGAAATGCTAAGTAGCATAATGAATACAATAAACATTAATTTTTTCTCCCTTAATTTTTATTAATAACATGTTGAATTATTCCTTTTGATCAGTGGTTTTGACCTAGAGGTATATTTAAAGAAAAGTAAACTTTGTTTTTTTGAGTATTATTATTATAGTATAGTTATCTTGGGAAGTAATAAGCATTCTAATTTTATGTGATTGTAAAACTAAGTGATTTAAAACATGAAGTTTAAATTAACTATGACCTAATTCTAACTAGTAGGAAATGAAACTATACCTAGAAATAAATAAATTTAGCTTATAAAAATGAGTATTAAAATTTCATTGTTATGTTGTAAAGTGGTGATATGTAGGTAGTAATTTGAATTTAATTGAGATTATTACATGATTATTTAATTTAATTAATTTAATCAAGATTATTACGTTATTACTTCAGAAGATTACATTAATGAGGATACTATTTTCGCTGACACAGATATTAGTGAATTGCTATGGCCAAAAAAAAAATTACGTCTAGTGATAATCCTCTGACCTAAACCTTAGTTAGACTTCAATGACACTCAGAGATCTGTGGCTATACAATCATTTTTATTTCTCCTTAATTATTGCATTCTGCTGCAGTTCCAAACCTTGAGCTTCCCATACTGTCATCTCCTCCCATCCTCTTAGCTGAGGACCTTGCTGCATACTTTACTGAGAAAATATAGAAGCTGTTTGCCATGATCTACCACTTCTCCCTTACTCTGTATCTTAAAATGCCTTGACATCATCCTCCAATTTCTTCCCTTTTCTCTATTCTCTAATGAAGAGATAATCTTTTGCCTCAGCAGAGTTAATTAACCCCTTTTACTTGCACCTTTCATTCTATCCTTTTCTCTGGCAGATTACCTTTAAAATCATTCATATGCACCTTTCCTTCCTCTCCCTCTCTCCAGTTTTTCCCTGTCTACTGACACACTCCCTGTCTAAAAAACACGCACAGGTCTCTTCCTTCCTTAACAAACTCTCACTTAGGAAAAACTGTCAACACTAATTGTGTCTACTTCCTTTGCTCTCACTCATGTCTTAACCCCATGTAATCTGGCTTCCAACCTCATCTCTCATCCGAAACCAATTTCTCCAAATTACCAATGATGTCTTTAAAACAATTTTTATTTAATTTTTTTAATCACCAAAAATCTGCCTCTCTTGCCTACTCAACCCCCTCGCCCCCAGTTGAGAGTGAAATAAAAGCAAAATCCCTGTCACAAATATCTGTAGTGAAGCAAATGAAATTTCTATATTGGCCATGTCCCCTCCTAACTCCCTCCCTCTTCTCTCTCTCTCTCTGTGTCTCTCTCTGTCTCTCTCTCTTTCTCTCTCTCTCTCTCTGTCTCTCTGTCTCTCTCTGTCTCTCTGTCTCTCTCCCTCCCTCCCTATCTATCAATATATAGATATAGATAGATATAGATTTAGATATCTCACTTTGCATTCTAAGTCACTTATCTTTCTATCAGGAGATGGGTAGCATCAGTCTTAGCCTTCTAGAATCATGGTTGGTCATCACACTGATAAGAGATCCTATTTCTTTCAAACTTGTTTGTCTTTTCTATATTACTGTCATTATATAAATTGTCCTGTTCCTATTTACTCTATATCAGTTCATATAGTCTTCCTAGGTTCTGAAACCATGTCTTTCATCATTTTTTCCAGCACAATAGTATTCCATCATATTTATGTACCATAACTTGTTTCTCTGTTCCCCAATTTAGGGGCACTTCCTTAGATTCCCATTCTCTGCTATCTCAAAAAGAGTTATACATATTTTTATTTTATTTTTATTTTATATAATATTTTTAATGCATTCTTAGAGTTTATTTTGCTTAGAACTAATTCCTGCCTTAACTTACCCTCTCTCTAATTCCCCTCTTTTCACTTTCCCCCTTCTCCTTCTTCCTTCCCTAGAGTGAAATATATTTTTGAACCCATCTATGGGAGTATTTGTGTATTCCTTCCTCCTTTGAGCAGTTCAAATGAGAGTGGAGTTCCAGCATCAGCCACTCCTTCCACCCTCTCCTCCTTGTTTGTATAGTTGCCTGCTTGTGTATCTTGATTGTGTGAGATAATTTCCCCTAATTTTCCTTTCTGTCCCTTCCCTTCCCTCGATGCCTCCCCCCCCCCCATTCCCTGGGTATTCCGTTTCCCTTTTCTTTTAATTTTTTTTCTCTTAAGATCATCAATACATATAGGATTACTTCCAGACTTTGCCTAATTAAACTCCCTTGATGAGTCCTGATGATGACAGAGTTCAGAGGGAATATGTGTATCATCTCCCCATATTAGAATGTAAACAGTGTATCCTTGTTTAATCCTTTATCATTGTATGTTCATGTTACCTTTTTATGTTTCTCTTGACTCCTTTTTCAATCTTTTCATCTGGAATTTTTGGAAGTATTCTCCTTCAGTAAAGGTCCATCCCCTCCCCCTGCCAAATGATTATACTCAATTTTCCTGGATAATTATTTATTAGCTGTAGGCTTATATCCTTTGCCTTCTGCAATGTATTCTAAGCTCTGTTTTCCTTTATAGTGGTGGATTCTAAATCATGTGTGATCCTGACTATGGCACCTCTGTACTTGAATTCTTTCTTTCTGGTTGCTTTCAGTATTTTTCTTTAATCTGGAAGCTATAGATTTTGGTGATAACGTTCCTGGGAGTTTTCATTTTGGGAATTCATTCTGTTTCCACTTTGCCTTCTGCTTCAGAGATCTATGTAGTTTTTCTTAAGAGGTCTTGAAGTATATCTAGGCTCATGTTTTGGTCACAATGTTCATATTGTTTCAATGATTCTTAATTTTTTTCTCCCCACTCTACTTTCCAAGTCAGTTTTTTTGTGCTATGAGATACCTTAGATTTTTATTTTTCTTTTTTCTTTAGTTTTTTCACTTTGTTTTAATATTTTTTGTTTTCTTGTGAAGGGTGGGTATTGGAACCCTGTTTTACTGCTTCCTACTATTTTGCCATCTTGGCCTCATGCTGCCCTCCATTCCTCCCAGTGATGTCTTAATTTGAAAATCAGATGGACTTTTCTTAGTCCTTATCCTTATTGACTACTTTGAAACTATTTTTACTGTTGACCACTCTCTTCTAGTTTTTTTTTGTGAAACCACTATTTCTTGGTATTTTTCCTACATGTCTTATGAATACTACTCTCTCTCCTTTGCTGGATCCTCATCTGTATTTTTCCCCCGAATTATGAGTTTATTCTAAGCCTCTTTTCTAGGCCTCCCTTCTTGTCTTCCATCCATCTCTCTTGGTAACTTAATCAGTTATCATGGGCTCAGTTATCACATCTACACAGATGACTACCAGATTTGTATATCTGATCTTAGCCTTTCTCCTGCACTCTAGTTCCCCAGCCTGTTGGACATTTCAAACTGGATACCCCAAAGATATCTTAAATGCAGCGTGTCCTAAGAAAACTTGTTATTTTCCTCCCCAACCCACTTATCTTCTGAAGTTTATTATTTCTTTTGAGATGGCAAGACCATGCTTCTAATCAGTCAAGTTTATAACTTTATAGGCATTCTTGATTCATCACTTTTACTCATCCCACATATCCAGTTAGTTTTGTCTTGTTGATTCTGGCTCTACAATGTTTCTTACATTTATTTCTTTCTGTTTACTCAGATAGCTACAACTTTAATTCAGTCCCTCATCACCTCTTGCCTGGACTATTTCAGTAATCTTTGAATTGAACTTCCTGCTTCCATTCTTGCCATACAGCTGCCAAAATGATCATTCTAAAACACTGGTCTTACCATGTAGCTCACCTGCTCAAGAATCTTTAGTGACTCCCTGTTCCTTCTAGGATAAAATTCAAATTCATTTATTTAGCATTTGAAACCCTTTACAACCTCACTCCAACCAACTTTTTCAGCCTTATTTTTCTATCATTCTTCTTCTTGACTTCTTTGGTCTAAACAAACTGACCTTCTTGCTGTTCCTCACACATTACATTCTCTCTCCTTTGCACAGGCTAGCTTCTATGTCTGTAACCTCCCCTCCCTTCTTTTTGCTTCTTAGAATTCCTAGTTTCCTTTCAAGGTTGGCTTAATTGGCTTGCATGAGACCTTTCTTAATCTTTAAACTGCCAGTACCTCCCTCTTCCCCTATTACCTTGTTCTTATTTTGTGCATATAGTTGTTCTAAGCTCCTTGAGGACCAGGGCTGTTTCATTTATATGCTTGTTGATTGGTTGATTGAAATAACCCTTTGTTAGGCTTGTACCTGAAGGCTTTTTACTTTGGTAAGTAAGACCTGACAGAGCTAATGCTTTGTTGGCATTGCACTGAGAACTCACAGTGACCTTCATATCTCTTAATCATAAGCCACATGAATAATGCTTTCGTGGAGATAATAGTATCATAGATCTAGAACAAGAGTGTCCTTCAGCAGCTCTCTAGTCTGATCCCCTCATTTTACAGATGAGGAACCTGAGGCCCAAGGTTTTGTGTCTTTTCTAAGATTACACAGGTTAGAAGAATGAGCTGTATGTATTCATAGACTAATGTCTGTGTCATAAGTGTAAAAATATGGATAGGAGAGTGTGTTGGAAATTGGAGGTACATGTAAGAATCTTTCTTAATGTCATTAGGATCCCACATTCATTTTCCCTTTCCCTTTTAAAAGAAAAATGATTTCCTTCAAAATTGGAAACAGACAAATGTAATTATGAAAATGTATTGAGAACAGTAGATTTTAGTGCATATATTTATATATTTTTTGATTGCATTTATGCTGAAATTTGATAAGTAAGTGGTATAGTTTTATGTTGACAAACTTTGGGAAATTATCTTTTGTGCAAATATATATCTTAAGACAGTCTTTAGAGGAATTAATTTCTTCTTTTGGCCCTGGGAAGGATGAATGTATTATTGAGGTAATATATTCATTCTTGGGAAATATTGAATGGTCATATTTAGTGTAGAGTTTTTTTATGTGTGTCATGGATCCCATTGACAGTCTGGTGAAGCTGATAGACCCCTTCTCAGAAAAATGGACAAAAACCACTTACTTCCAATTCTAGTTATTGTTTTAGGAAAATGTCTAAATGTTTTTGAAGTTATAGACTTTTGAACTTAGTCTTATCCCTAGGCCTCCTTCAAATACCTGTTGTTAATATGTCATTGTCCCTGAGTATATGTGCATAAGAAAAAAATTAAAAAATGTATTATAATAAGGGTATATAATGAGAACCCTACTATTGTGAAAGAGTAGTAAGAAAACATGGAAATCTCCCCTAATGTTAATTCATTCCCTTATAATCCTAATAACTTACATTTATGTGGCCCTTTATGATCTTTGGAGTTCTCTCCTCATGATTCTATGAAGTATGTTAGTGTAAGTATTATTATCCCCATCTTAAAGATGAGGAAATTGGCTCTCTTAGAGGTTTAGTGACTCAGCCAGGGCCTGACCCTTGTAAATGTAAGTTTAAGGATTAAAGATTCTGGAGGGAAAAAGACAAGGACGATAGTGGAAAGTGAGAATAATAGAAGCCTGAAGGCATTTGATCTTAGGCCCACAATTGAGAAGGGAAAGGTGCACACAAAATTTAGATAAAAGCCAAAAGACAGAGTTTGGTAACTATATACAATGATTTTAATACTGGAAATAAAATATTTATTTCAGAACACGAAAGATCTTCAGACCACACTTAATATCTTAAACATTCTTGTTGAATTGGTGTCAGTTGGTAAGTTCCTTTGATCTTATTGCTGTATGTAAAGAATAATGAATCACATAGATCTGTGATCATAATTTTCAGCCAAAAAGAAGGAGCACAGTCTGATAAAGGATATTCTTTTTTGCAAAGTCCCTTTAAAAGTGTACTTTATTTTCTTGAGATCAAAACTGTCCTGAAAAACTCTTAATATAGGGGTGTCATATGTGAGTATATATAACCCTATTTTTATTTTGATGTATTATAGAATTATTGTAGAATTACATGATATATTATATTATATTATAGAATTATATTATAGAATTACATGAGGGTAACATACTAGGATTTATCTGATGACAATATAGTATTTTTAGGGGCTGTTGTCAAATATGAAACCTTTCTTCTTAGCCCTTTGTATATCATACATAAGTTGTGGTGGGGCTTCCATTTAAAATGTATGTGGTTTAAAATGGATTTGTAGGAAAGGAAGGAATGGCACTGTAGCTGTTTTACCTTTTCTTTTTACCAGAGATATCAGTGTTGCCTCATATTCCTGAGGGGAGGCATCCACAACTCCTTTTTTATTATTTAGGGAAAGCCATAGGATTATAGACCTAGAGGTCATCTGTTCCAAATCTTTAATTTTACAGTTGAAGGAATTGAGAACCAGAGAAGTTAAGTGAATTTACAGAGGTTACAGAGTTCAAAAGTAGCTGAGCCAGGATTAGAATCAGGCTTTGTGATCCTAAGTTCATTGTTCTTTTTATTGCTCCATGAAGCACCTCTCCAAGGTGTGCCTATTTTATTAGTTGTACATATTTTTTCTGTGCTTTTGTTTTTTTTTTTTTAGGCAATTGAGGTTAAGTGACTTGCCCAGGGTTACACAGCTAGTAAGTGTGTGAAGTGTTTGGTCTGAGGTCGGATTTGAACTCAGGTCTTCCTGACTTCAGGGCCAGTGCTCTATATCCACTTTCTGTGATTTTTTTCTAACAATAAGTTAAAGTCTTCAAATATTTAACGTTTTTACTTCCCACAATTTGCATGATGCTATAACAAAAAAAAAAATGTTGACTGTGGCATTGAAAATTGTGTATGTTGGTTTAATTTTGAAGGTGGTAGTAGGAGAGCAAGTGCTTTAGTCTCCAAAGGTGGTACACAAATATTGTTGCAGTTACTTTTGAATGCCAGCAAAGAATCTCCTCCACATGAAGAGTTAATGATTCAAGTTCACACCCTTCTTGCGAGAACTGGACCAAAAGGTAACCATTTTAGTGGAATAATTATAATAACTGGATTATTAGTACAAGAACTATCCTTTGTAATACTGTCATCTGTCTGGAACTGCTAAATTTGAACTTTGAACGGTGTTGTTTAGCTCTTTGTTTTGTAATAAAGCATGCTCATTGAAATCCTTATTTCTAAGTCATTGTTACTCACACTGCTGTTAATCCTGATTTCTTGGAGAGTTGTTAAATAGGTAGGAGAGAAATTGCTGGGTGAAAACAAATAGAAATTGTTATCATTCTTCCTTCTTCAGTAGCATAAACTCTGTGACCTTTATGTAGGGGAGATATATAACATGAGGACGGTTGAAAATATGAAGGAGAATTCTGCAGGTACTTACTCAGTGTTACTGTGTTCAAGGTGCTGAGGAGATACTAATGAAAATGACATAATCCTTGACCTTAAGGAGCTTATGTTTTAACCTGAAGGAACACATGTATTATAAATAAGTGTGATGCAAAGTAGATTGTGTTAAGGAAAAAAAGAGAGCCAAATTGCTCTGAAAAAATTGAAGGAGAAAAAAATCACTTTAAACTTATGTGGGATGAATATAGGGTGGGGTTGGCATTAAAGGTTTTATTAAGAAGATAACCTCTGAGCTAGGGGCCTTGAAGAAAGAGATTTTGGCAGGCAGAGATGTGTTTGAAAAAGTTGAAGAATAAAGTAAATAAACTTTGTTATTACTGTTTTCCATTAATAATTATTTTTAGTGACTACTATATGTACTACAAAATTAGAAGTATAGTCTCCACACACCAAAATGCAAAATGGCTTTCATTACTTCTTCAGTGATGGTGGCAGAACAGGGGGAATGTATCACTTGATTTTTAGACTGTCTATAAACTTAAACTTATCTGCTTTAAATTTGAAGTCGTTGTCCAGCAACCATTTGTAAGGACTGAATCATGTCAATATTGACACATTCACTGTAAATGAAACCAGAAGACAGAAAGAGATTGTAGTTAAGTGGAAAAATGGCTCATAGCCTGTCCTTGGAAATGTAAATACAAAATAGGTGGAATTAGTTTTATCGTGTCCAGAGGCAACAGATTGTGTCATGGAACATTTGGTTGTCTTTGTGTTGAAGTTCTCTTGATAGGTATTTGCAAAAAGACCGCTATGAAAAATAATTGAATATTATGTACCAGTACATCTGTTGTAGAGATTAATAGAGAAATTCTATGAAGAAGTTACTAAGACTTAAATTAATATATACTTTGATACTAACTTGAGTACAAAGGTGGCCAGTGAAAACTATATTAGAAAATAAGAACAGGAATAAGAAATGAGAGAGGTCAAAGACTTGGAGAGTACACAAAACTTTCATGCTTATACATCATAAATAGTTTCTTTAAGAAGAATCAAAATACCCTGCAAATGGCAAGTAGTGAACATCTTAAAATATATTTTAACTGGCAGGAAACGACTTGTTACTGATGTAGGAATCACTGTCAATTCAACTGTCAATGTATAATCAAGTAACTGACTTGTTAGAGCTAAATTCAAATTTACTACAACGCTAAAAGAATAAAAATGAGAAAAATATTTGGTGTACAATTAAGACAACTCCAGTCTGACCGATTTAAATATTATCAATGGTGAAAAATGGGTTATAGATACAATACTATGCAATACATGTAACTCATGTAGAAGTAAAATTGATGTAAATCAAGTACTACATTGAGAAGACCAAAAGAATATAAAATGTTTTTCACTCAGTAAAAATTGGATTTACTGAGCAGAGAGATATGACAGCCAGGGACAACATTGGTTTGGAATGTAAACATGCTTGAAAAATAATCACAGAAAAGGGTAATTATGAGCACTATCACTTTATAAAACAGAGAGAAACAATGGAGGGTAAAACCAGTTTAAAGAAAGCTTAGCAAGAGTTCTAACTAAGCATATTCAGCCTGAGGGTAAAGGATGAAAATGAAAGAAGAAAAGCAAATGGAAGAAAGATGGAAGAGATCTGTGAATATTATTATAATAAACTTGCTGTCATCAAGGAAAGTGGAACCACCACACTTATTCTCTAATATCACAGTCTCACATGTACTTAGGAAAATAAAAATGGTAATAAAGAGAACAAAGATAGGAAAAGCAACTGCATTACACCAAGTATATGTAAGGGAAATCAGTGCTGCAGGTGACAAAATCATTAAGGCTTTAAGGGATTCACAAAGTATCTAAAATGGGAAAATACCAAAGACATGGAAAAATATTTAAACTGTTAATACCAATAAAAAGGTAGTCAAGAGAACACCAACAACTACTTGTTAACATGCCAATGTTCCCCTCTATACAAGAATTTTATGCAATTTTGGCAGCTCTCCTATTTAATGTTAAGTATGACTTGTCCAATGATCTCTTTCATTGTTCATTTAACTACATGTAAAAACCTGGAAAATAAATATTCTTTATCACCTTGGTTTTCCTTGTGATTGGGTGGGTAGGCAAGATTCTTTTAAGTGATTCTGGATTGTGTCCAGAAGGCTTTATAATGTTTCTGGGCTTTGATGCAGTAGGCACAGTGTTATCTACAAACAGGAACTTTTGGAGGATTTCCCCACCTGTAGAGAATACCTCTTCAATTTAGATTGTTCACTGGTTCCCTTCCATGGCAGTAGCAAATACCTTTTATTAGCTTATGACTCTTAGTTTTGTGCTCTACCAGATAGTAGTGATGAGAGGGTCATCAGTCAGGGTTCTCTGAGCTGTTATATCTTCTGAGGAATTTTGCATAATTTTGATGTTTGTATGGGAGAGAGTAATAAAAGGTAGTATTTTACTCTACCAGATCAAATGATTTTTATAATCATCAAGCAATAAGCATATTAAGATCTTATGTTCTCTACATCTTTCTGTGAATTATGTGATGGTAAAGAGATGTTCTAATGTGAAATATCACTTGTATTGCCTGTTTTCTATTAATATCCTGATTAAGGATACCCTTAATGTGTGTGTGTGTAATCCTTAAAATCCTAAATGCTACTGGTCGGCTCCTCCCAAATTCCACTTAATCCCCTCCTAATCTGGCTTTGACTATCACAAAGTGGACTCCTACAATTGGTTCCTTTCTATATCTTAAAAAAAAAGTATCTTTAGGAATACACACACGTGTGCACACACACATAAATCATGCTTATTTTCAGTAAAAATATTTTTTATATTCTATTTATTTTCCTTTACTATCTATTTGCAAGAGAATTCTTCAACACAGACCTATAAATCTTGTTTAACTTGATATAAAAATATCAGAAGTGAGAACTAACTTTTTTTCAGCTTTATTTAGCAGAACTTGAAAAATCTGACAAAAGAACTAAAGTCTTAACTGGCATAAAATGAATGACTTGAGTATGTAGATAAATTACATTTAAAAACAGGAATTAGAAAATAATCTCATCCCATTCTTGAGTTACTTATAAATGCTTTATGTTTATTTTTCTTATAGACAAAAAGTTTGGAGTGAAGTCTAGAATTAATGGGGCCTTAACTATAACTTTGAATTTGGTGAAACAGAATTTGCAGAATCAGCGTTTAGTGCTGCCTTGTCTTCAGCTTTTACGAGTGTATTCTACCAATCGTAAGTGTTGTAAAATTTCTTTCAGTTTACATAATTTACAAAGGAAAGTCCTTTTTAAACATAAAACAAAAGAAAATTGTAGTTTTTTTCAGTAAATTACTAATAATGAGTAATTAATATATTGGAAAAGAGCCAGAATTAATCACATTGTTTCAAAAAAAAAACTTTTAGGAGTTGCAGAATATATAGTTTGATTTTTGGTTATCCAGTGATTAAGCTTCTGTCATTTTAATGTTTGGAATGACCTTGGAAGTGTATTTTTAAAAATATAAATAGAAATAAAAGGGTAATTCTTTGGATGCAAAGAATCTTTTAAAGCAAGGAACAAGAGCCAAAGCTTGAATATTACATTTGATGTGTTGTCTGCTAGCTAATAAAAAGGTGTAAAAGATATTTTATAGATATCTATAAAATGCTCATATAGAATTACAGAAGAATTACAGCAGAATACAGAAGGCACAAGACAGAATAAAAGTAGAGAAAAGTGGTAAGAACAGAGAGGCAGCAGTGGTGCTGGGAATTAGAAGTTCTGATGAGGGCAATGAACAGTAGATAACCTGACCATAGAGAAAAGAGTCAACAACTAACCAACAGGGGATTGAATAATAATAATAATAATAATAATAACAACTCATATGAATATAGTCCTTTAAGGTTTAAAAAGCAGTTTATGTATATTATCTCATTTGATTCTTAGAACAACGCTGTGGGTTAGGTGTCATTTTACAGGGGAGGATATTATGAATTTCTATGTGAAATGGAAACATCATCAGTTAATTCTTGGACAACACTGCTACCACAGTTCATAGCCTATTGAGGAATTCATTATTTACCATAGTATGGTGACCAGTAAAATCCTTTAGCCCCATGATTCATTCCATGTACACTTGAACCATAGAAGTTAGAGCCTAGAAAGAATCTTAGGTACCATATAGTCGCCATTCTCATTGTATAGATGATGGAACAGGCTCAGAGAGGTGAATGAAATGTTTGTCTATGATCACACTTGGATTATATAATAAAAGCCCAGCTAAACATTTCAGCTAAAATCTTCCCTTCTACAAGATAATTATTGCCTTAATGATCGATAATGACTAAAATATTACTGAAATTTTAGATTTAAAAAATGTTGCATCATGAAGCTCTGTTTTCAGAACATTACTAAACTCCATTTTTAGCAGAATTTTTTTTATCTCATTGCTTTCACATGACTTATTTTTTGTATACTTAAAACCTTCAATTGATAACAAAAGCAGAGGCAATATAGATGTTTACATTTAAGAAAAAATCTAGGTATAATCTCTTAACATCCAATTATGGTGAAGATTTCTGTTTGGCAAAAAGGTATCAAAGCTTTATGTAGTGACTAACTTATTTAAAGGAATATTTGGTAAAGGCAAATTTGCATCATTTGGACAGTTCCTTAGGGTTTCATGATGAGATTTCTAGGTGACATTGATAATCTATCTTGTAATTGAATTGTAACATAAGCAACTTCAACTTCATTAAAAATATTTTGGTGTACTTTTTAACAGTTTATGCAGACCTTTTTCATGAGAATTCCCCAGATAAAGGTGTTGGTTAAATTCTTCATGAAAGAAAGTGTTCTGAATTACTTTTAAAAACCCTTTTCTCTGCAGTATATTCCTAATCTTTTTTACATAGAAACTTTTTAAGGGAACAATTCTCAAGTTTTTTCAGAAAGTCTTCCTTAAAGGTCTATGACCTTGGACTTGACATAGGACTTTGCTTTTCTCTCTCTTATATATAACTGTCTTAGTGTTTCATTAAAAAAAAAATAACAAAACAAACAACACTATCTTTTTACCCTGAGTTAGTGGGTATGTACTATCTTTATAATTGGTGACTTAATCCTAACTAAATTCCTTCCCTCACTGAACACATTTAGTAAAATGTGAGCATTTCACCTATAGCTTGAATATGATTATTCAGTGGGATGTATATTGTATATATATACATATACATATATATACACATATACCCATAGACATACTTAGTTTTTGTGGTTTAAAACTTTTTTTATTTTTAGCTGTCAATGCGGTGTCCTTAGGGAAAAATGGAGTTGTGGAACTGATGTTTAAAATCATTGGCCCTTTTAGTAAAAAGAACACTGGCCTTATGAAGTGAGTACATAAATGTTTTGTAAGTATGAACAAAAGTGCAACCTAAACTTCTCTGTGCCTTGGTTTACTCATGTGTAATACTAGAAGGTTTGATTAAAAAATTGAAGTTCTTTTCAGCTCTGAAACTCCAACTTTATAATAAGACTTAAAAGTTCATTGATACATTTTGTTTTTATATCAGTCATTTCCAGATATTCCTTCCCCTTCCCAAATTAAATCCTTTCTTATAACAAAGAAAAAAAGCTAAATAAAAACAATGAATATAATTACCACATCTGACTCTGTGCATTATTCTTCTGTAAATACCCACTTCTTTGTGGAGAGGCGGGGTATGTTTTATTTTCCGTATATTCAGGAACAAAATTGATCATGACAATTACTTAGTTCCACATCCTTTTAGTGTTTAAAAAAGAATTTACATTTTTGTAGTCATCACATCCATTGTTCTTCTAGTTTTGCTTACTTGACTCTACCATCATTTCATATGTCATAGCATGTTTGTCTGAATTTCTCACATTTGTCATTTCTTACCGTACAATAACATCCTTTTACATTCATGTACCATGATTTCTTTAATGATTCTCCAATTGATGAGCACCCATTTGGTTTCTAGTTTTGAAATTTAAAGATAGATAAAAGAAAAATCTCAAATTGTAATTTCATAAACATAAATTAGCTTAAGAACTTCAAATTTTGTACAACCCTAAGTATTATGCATTGCAGAATAGAAAAGTCAAGTCGCTGCTATTAAATGAAATCTTTTCTTGCCATCCTTGTCTGAAATCAGTTTAGTTTGTTGGTTTCTTCGTTGTCATTGTATGAAGTGTGCGCATTAAATTAAGTCTTCCCTTTTTGTTACAATTATCATTGTTATTTTTTCCTTTCTTTTTGGTATTCTGCACATGTATCTTAAAACTCAAATTCCAGCCATTGTTTTGTTTCTTTAGTATTATCAGACAGTTCACAAGCTGAAACAATTAGTACTTCTTCTAGGTTACTGCCTGAATTAGGGTAAAAAGTAGGAAATTACATATGTGGTTATATTAATAAGATTGTCAGATAATGTGGTAAGTCAAACTAATTTTGCCAATGAGCAACATTCTAGAACTTAAGATTAGATTTAACAAAGCAAGAAAAAGGGCTATTTTCATATTGATATGAATGATGATCTTTGTGTTTATACTGTTTCTCTATTTGATCTTTGAAGTATTTTATAATAATTTTTCTATTTATTTCTCCCATTATCTTTTAATTGTTGTACTTTTTAGTCCTGGCCCATGCTACTAAGTTAAGCATTCTAGTTAAAGATATATACCTACTTATAATAACTAAAATTCATTTGGTGATATATATATTATTTCATTTGATATCTCCAGAGGGAAAGAAGAAATCTTTAGTATGGAAACATTACAATAGTAAAACATGTGTTTATAGCATTTTGCATGTACTCAGAGTCATACAGAAATCAGTAATGACTTAAAAGAAATCTTTTTTTTTTTTTTTGGTTAGGCAATGGGGTTAAGTGACTTGCCCAGGGTCACACAGCTAGTAAGTGTTATGTGTCTGAGGCCGGATTTGAACTCAGGTCTTCTTGAATCCAGGGCCGGGGCTCTATCCACTGCGCCACCTAGCTGCCCCTTAAAAGAAATCTTTAAAAAATTATATTGAATGCTCTATTTATGTATACGATGCCTGTCTTGCCTTGGCCCCCTTCATTTCCCACACCCACTTTCAAAGTGGTAAATTATTCAGACTTTTAGATACTGGTTCATGTTGACCTTTGGAAACCTTCATTGAGCTTTGAGATTATTACTATTGTTTATTAATGAACGCCGAGTGGTGAAGAAATGATAGATAAATTTAATTGAACTCTTGATCTAATATCTTTTCTTTGGCTATTTCTTGTTGTTTATTGGGCATTTAATCAAAGCTATTTTAATTGACTGTATTTGGTTGTTGGAAGGGAGGTGATTGATAGACAATTGAAGGGTGATATTTACTTTTAGAATTACTTTTTTTTTTCCAAGTTGCATACCCTAGTCTGGGATAAGATGGTCCAGGAAAGTGCTATAGACGTGTGTGTGTGTGTGTGTGTGTGTGTGTGTGTGTGTGTGTACACACGTGTAAAGGGGGACCCTAATCTTAGGATTAAGTGTGTGTGTGTTACCAAGTTCTGCTGTCCTTTGTATCTTCTTTCCCCCTAATGCTTGCTGCTTCTTTAAATTAATTTAACCATTTGCCTAGTGTTCTATCATTAACAGCAGCGTTCCTTCTTTAAGAGCAATAACAGCAACAATGATAATATTGAGAGGCAACATGTCGTAGTGGTTAGTTAGCTGGCTCCTGCATTTGAGAGATCTGAGTCCTCATCTTATTTTTATATTTACTGGTTGTGTGACCCTGGGCAAGTAACTTAACCTCTTCATGCCCATGAAACTCTCTGGAACTACACATTACTGAGCAGATGTGAAGTTGGGTTGGGAATGGGAATTTCTTTCCTGGGAGTTCCCCATACCAATGAAATCATAGTCTGGTCCAAAAATAATAATAGCTTGTGTTTTAATAGCAGCATAATGTTTATTTCACTTATTTAAAAATAGACCTAAAACTTAGGTGTGGTAGGTATAGGGTAGAATTCATGTGAGGAAAGTATGTAAAGAAAAAATGTATGAAGAAGTATGATATATTGGTATAGAGATAAAAACTTACTTATGTGGAGCAATTAATTAATTTAAAAAATGAATCTTAAACCTAGAATTTCTGTGATTAATTTTTATAATTTCTTTAAGCTCATACTTTCTTAACAAGAGGCAGAATTGTTTTCAAATACTTTTCTTATGGTTAAGCTAAAATGAGAAGTTTGTAATGTGCTTTGCAAACCTAAAGGCTCCATGTAAATGTTAGTTATTATTAAGCTTGGTTTTTATATTTCAATTGTAAATGAAAACATAATGCCTGCCTTTCACAAAACTTAATTTTTTTCAATTAATTTTTGTTGTTTCTGCTGCAATTCAGTGAAGTTATTTTTTGTTTTATCCCTTTTTTTGTTAGGTTAATACCATTCTACTAGACTATCCATACTATTCCATGTTAAGTTTTTCTGAATGCTTATGAAACACTTTTGTTTCTCCTTACTGTACAATTTTATCAGACTCACAGAAATTTCCTCACTCTAACTTAAATCCAGAGTTCTTAATGAACAAGCAGGACTTCCCACATTACAGTGTTGTAGTATCATAGATTTATTTCATTCTTCAACATATTATTTGCTTGCAGTTCTGTTCCATGTTATTCCAATAAAGTTAAATATATGAGATTATAATTCTAATTTAGTATAAGATACTTAGATCTCTACTGGTTATTGTTTATTATCATGAGAATGGGTCCATTAGAATTTCCTATTTGTATAGATAAACTAAATTTCAAGTTGTTAGGATAAGCTTTCTCATTCTCTTTCTGTCTCTCTGTTTCTCTTTTCTCTCTCTGTGTGTCTTTGTTTTTCTGTTTTTCTAGAGGTAGATAACACATAACAATAGTAAACATTTATCAAACATCAACCAAGCACATGTTGCTGTATTGTTATGTTTTTAAGTTCTGCTTCAGACCTCCTGCCCTCTAGTAAATGTTAACTAGCTCCACTTCAACTTTGATCACACTGTGTGCTCACAGAGCTTTTTGCCCATGTTGCACCTACACATTGTTCTTTAGATGTTTCATAAGTTTCCATTTTTTGTCTCCCCATTTGGATTTTAAATTTCTCTAGAGAAGGGCCTGTTGTTTTCTTCTCTTGCATACTCAAACATATGGTGCTGGATGTCCAGCTGGCCCTTAAATGCTTATTAACAACTGCATTACTTAAGCATGGGTATACTTGTAGCAACAATGACAATTTTTACTGACTGATCCTTTGCAGAATATTTATACTATGACTTGTATTGTTTAATATTCTTTGTAACTTGCTAATAGAAGTTATATTCTTAATGAAAATAATTGTGGCATATATAATCTCTTATATTTGTAGATGTTTCTAAATTCATTGCCATATTTTCCAGAATTTATTTTTCTTCTACTTGGATGAAAGGTGTGTGTTTTTCTTAATTATGCTGTATATACTGTCAAAGCTAGATGATTGTGAATAGATTTGCAATCTGTAACTCAGTATTTGTGCTCAAAGACAAGCACTGCTGATTTTTAAAACTATGATTTCTTCTAGAGATAGTGGGTCCTTTAAGATTTTGGTGACCAATAGTCTCTTTAGGGGCTTACCACTGAAAAGTGATGAGGAACTTTATGTGGAAGCTTCCCTTTCTAAAACAGTTTAGACTTCTTATATAAATGTCCAAACTTAAAAATGAGGGAGTAATATTTTGTAGTTGTAATATTTTGAATTTAGCAAATCAGAAATATTTCTGCAGAACTTACAGTTTATAGTGGCAGATTCAAGGGACTTTTGGGGCCAGGGACTGTAACTTTTAAAGCAACACAGTTGCTAGGTAGATTCTTACAGGCTCAGATTACCTACACAGTGAAAATCAGTTCCTTTGGTGTGCCTTTGGATAAAAATACTTAAAAGTAAGTAATTTTTCTTTTGGCGTGTTCTTCTTTTTAACTTTTGTCTTACTACATCTAATTTTAAACTGGATAGATGCATGTACTCAAAGTACTTTGAGAAACTATGTAAATAAGTTAAATAAAGATAAAATTTGGAATGAGTAATAGAAAAATAACTTGAAACATTTGTATGAATTTACTCTGTTGTAGACTAATTTTACTAGTTTTGTTGTTGTTTTGTGTTTTCTTCTTGTGTTGACAGGGTTGCTTTAGACACACTTGCTGCATTGCTAAAATCAAGTAAGTGTTTAAATACTAGATAATATCTTATAGAATATTCTATCATGTTAAACAAATTGGAAACTAGATTTGATTTAAATGTTCACTCTTCAGTAGTGTTAAAATTAAATAATACTCTTAAATAAAAAATTGATTTTTAGTTTTCCAGTTGTCCAATAAAATGATTTCATACATAATAATAAACATTGGAGCATTATGTCAATCTAGTGCATTGACTTGTTCTTAAAATGGAAACATAAAGAACAGCTGATAAGTACCTGACAGAGAAGAATGATTTATAAGAATTTTTATTTTAAGGACATCATACATAATTTTGAGCACTTCTTTTATTTGAAATGATCTGAACAACTTCTGTGTATACTTAAATATCTAAAACATGCAGCTTTCATTTAATCTCTTATTTGAAGGACTATTTTTCTCATATGATAATATAAAAAATTTAAGAAGTGTGAATCTTATTGTTTAAACATACATTTGCATTTTAATAAATTTTATTCCAGAAATAGATATTTCTTCATTTCCAAAATAGAAAGAAGAATGTCAGCTTAAGTAGTTCTTTTGTGAATTGCCTTTAACATTCTTGCTCAACTACTATGTCAGCTATCTAGTTCTCTTTTTCTTGCTATGTAAATACTTAGCATCTATTTAGATTAATGTTAATTCCCTATTAGTATCATCAGTCAATGGGAGTGTTATTTATTTAATACATAAGGAATAATTGGCTGATTAAAACTAATAGATTATTTAACCCCAACTATCTTTTTGATAATTTACTGACACTTGATAATTTTAACTTCTGATTAATACTTTAATGATGCTAGAAGTGTATGAACATAAAAGAGAAATAATTAACCAGAGCTGATAATACATGAAGTATTTGTAAAGGCATGAGATCAACTAATCATTCAGTCTGAACTATCAGTATTGTTTGGGTTGTTGAAATGAGGCAAGTATTATATAATAAATCAGTTTGCAATACCATTTAACTAATTGAGATTATAACATTATCTCTAAAGACAGAATCTCAGTATTTCTAGGATCTATGATTTGTCCCTGGGGAAACTTACTCCATTAACTTAGATTGCTGTCCTTGCCAGTTTCGTGAGATTCTGTGGCCAAATAAAAATTTGTTATCTTGTGGTCATCTCTCTGATAGTGAACCTCATTAAATTTAGTTAATCTGGTCCTTGAACAAGAATATGAACTAGTACTCAAAACCTGCTACAATTTTCCATTCTTGGCATAGCCTTTGAGAACCATTGTTATTTCTTTGCCACAAGGTGGCATTCGGTTATGATTTTAGGTGGAAATGAGTTGTTTACATACTGAAGTGTGCCACTGTTTTCTGAGAACTGACCTTTTTACATTTTTCTTTAGATTTGCTTTATCAAACTTGATTTGGCACACATTTAATTTAATATGGATAAAGGATCAAAGGTTGTCCTTAAAACTATTTGTAGTGCTCTTTACTACAGCCTGTAGTTACAGTGAAGGTCTCACACATAGGTAGTATGAAACAAGAGAATTGATGCTAGATGGTTCAAAAGGAGTTTTCACTTAGGGGTGTCATTTGGGAACATTTTAAGGTAGCCTTGATTCATCACTAAGATAATAAAGTGATTACTTTTAAAAGAGAGATTATTGATAATTCTGATTAGTAGGTGATATAAGTCAGCAGTTCTCAGACCTCTTGAATTAGGCAGCCTGTATGCATTATTTTTTTTTCTGCTTCTCTTTGTTGTTCTTAATCTAAATAGACACTATGTATTTATGTAGTAAGAGAAACAGAACTAGATAGCTGACATGGTGGTTGGGCAAGTTGATTAAAGGCAGTTGATAAAAATAAAAAAAATTAAAAAGGAACCACGTAAGCTGATATTCCTCCTGTTTTGGAAATGAAGAAATCTTTATTTCTAAAATAAAATTTATTTCACTGTATATTTATGTTTAAACAATAGAGGGAAGCTATGTGACACTTTTAAAAGTGTTATTAAAGATAACTTTAAAAATTAAACAGTTGTAAATTATTTCTGATTTAAAACATTTAAAATATATTTAGATGTTGAAAAACTCTATTTTCTAAATTGACCATTAAAATTTAGTACATTAAAATAAATGAAATACATACTGTACATGCTATTGCAGATATTTAGAATATAGGAAGATATGAGGCTCAGGAGTTTCAGTAGCAATCTATATAGTAGGTATGCCAAAGTGTGGGTGGGTGCTAGCTAACTCCTGAGGTGAAATACCTTAAATCTACTTTTTTCCCCCTGAAATATAAGTGAATTTTATGCTAAACCTTTATGTACACGAAGATGCTATTAATATTCCAATAAGAACTTTCCCTGCATAGGTATATAAGGCTGTTTTTTTTTTAAAAAAAAGGGGAACAAATTAAAAAGCAAAAAAGGAGAGCAACTTTTAACACTTATAGTGAAGAAGAAAGCAAGGCCAGATCTTGGAGTAACTGAAGATCTTATCTAGAAGTAAGAAGTAGCCCTCCTCCTCAACCCAATCTGTGGTGTACACCAGCAGGAGGAACAGATCCCTGGCACCTAAGCAAGTGATTTGACTCTTACCTGAATTGACCAGTTAGGAATATGCCAATTAGACCAAAAAAAATCAGGTAAATTAATTTGAAACAGTTGGTTGTGTATGTAAACAACCATTTCTGTATATATTAGGAATTTTGTCACAAAAGAAGAGATATGATAGTTTCTGCTACATCTCATGATGCATCCCGTGGGTTCTTTTTTCTGGCTAGCCTTTTCCTCTTTTGGTTATAAATAAAAGTTCCAGTTGTTGAAGTGTTAATGATTTTTATTTTCTCAGGGCTCAAGTATTCCCCAGGTGTATGTAGGTTAGCATCTTTGGTACATTTGGTACTTCTTTCATATAGCTAAGAATCCTAGAGCCTAACTCTGTGACCAACTTCAGGGTCTACATCTCTTAGAATCATTTAAAGGTCACAGTGGACTAGGGATAAGGTTAGTATTTCTGATAAATATATATGTCATGCAAATTCATCACATTGTGGATGCATTTTTAACTACCCTTCATTATAGCAATATTTGGATCAGTGTATTAGTGGACTAAAATTCTCTTTTAAGTTATTTTTAGTAGTAAAGTGCCTTTACATTAGGTGTGCTGTTCAGACTTGTTAATTTGTTTAGTGTGTGACAACAAGGCTGATGAAGTGTTAGGTCAAGACCCCTTCCCAATTTCACCCTTTAATATTAGGATCACTTTTAAAAAAGTCAGATATTGTTGATTCATTTCTTGCTAACTTTAGTTTGATAAAGCAAGGCATTTACAATCTTTTGCAACTATAATTTACAAGTTAAATCAACAGTGATATTTTTACATGGATGATTCAGAAATGCTGCTTCTCTGATCATTTTCTAATTGTTTAAATTCCTAAAAATGTTGGCAGTTTAACTTTAAGCTAAAAGAAGCATGACATATTTACACAATTGGTGAAGACTTTAGAGAATAATTAAGCTTTTAATGAGGATAGGTTCACTCAGTTAATAGTATAATAGAATGAGTTGCCACTATTATAGTAATGATTTTGCATGAACTATAAGCCATGTAACCATATAGCAAGTTAAAATTCTATTTAGTCCAATTCATTGTAGTCAAGTACGTGTGTTCACAAGTTTCATAATGCATGAAACTTTTTATTAAAGGAAACTTTTTTGAGATGACCCTGATTCTAATATAGAGATCCTTATGCTAATAAATAACTGAACAATATAAAGAGATCTCTGGGAAATGTTGTTTTCTATTTACTGAAGCTTGTCACATTTACATAATAGATGAAAAAAACATTTTAAAACCCTGTTGCTAAAGATTTCTTTAGAAAATGTAATGTTAGAAGAATGCATCATGGTATTGTATACAAATTGGGTTTGCTATATTAAAAGAAAAAAGCAATCATTCTAACTCTGTTATGTTCTGCAACTTTTTCTTGTCATCTTCAGTGTTCTTTCTTAATTTTCTCTTGTTAAAGAAACAAATGCCAGGAGAGCTGTAGACAGAGGATATGTCCATGTGCTTTTAACAATTTATGTAGATTGGCACCGGCATGATAATCGGCACAGAAACATGCTCATCCGGAAAGGAATTTTACAGAGTTTAAAAAGTGTTACAAGCCTCAAGTTGGGAAGAAAGGCATTTATTGATGCCAATGGGATGAAAATTCTATACAACACTTCACAAGTAAGTTACTTCTTAATTTCCTTTTCTTAGATTCATATACTCAAGATTGATTTTAATTATCAGAAAAAGAAATTTATTTAAGAGGATACTAGTCAAGTAATCATTAAAGTAAAAACTTGGTAGCAGTAACTAAAGGCAAGTGTTCAAATTTTTTTTTCTTACATGTAGCATGAATATTGTTAATTGCTTTTTGACCTTCCAGTTAGAAAATTAGGCTCATAAAGTCTCATAGAAGATGATGCTTGTGGGTTTACAGAATTAAGAGGCTTTGTGAATGCACAAATAGAATAAGATTAGGTGTAGCTTTTCTGTTCCTACGTCTATGTAATTTTCTTTAAATATCAGAATTTTCATATTGATGATATAAAGGAACACTTGCATTCATAATGGACAGAAGTATTTAAAATTATACTTTGATATAAAATAGATATTTTTAGTGGAAAATGTCAGAAAAAAGCATTCTCTTCTGAAGATATCTAAAATTAGTTATTCATGGTGATTACATGGTGTTTTTTCCCTTTCCTTTAAAAATAGGATTGCTTGGCAGTCCGGACTCTTGATCCTCTCGTCAACACGTCCAGTCTGATTATGAGGAAATGTTTTCCTAAAAATCGTCTTCCATTACCAACTATTAAAAGTGCTTTTCATTTCCAATTACCAGTTATTCCTGTGACTGGACCTGTGGCTCAGCTCTACAATTTGCCACCTGAAGGTATGGTTCACTACATGCTATTCAGTGTTGTTTTTATATTTTTGTCTACTTTCCTTGTGGTTGAATTGAATAGAAAAAGGAAGACTTAATATAGTAATCATACTTTATTTCATTTAATAGTCACCTGTTATTTTAAAAAGAGAGTTTGAGTTTCTTTCACATTGCCAGAAGAATGCTATTTAGTATAGGGATACATGTTATATTTATGAATGTGAATTATAAGACAATTTCATTAAGTAAATATAACCTAAAACTGTTTTAAATTGGTACTTGTGATTTTTAAAGTATGTGTACATATATTATTAATATATAATCAATGAGATCAATTGCTGCATTTTTAATACTTTTATTAAGGTATTAAATGAACTAAACAGAATTTTGATTAAAAGTCTTATGGTTTTCTGTCTCCCTGAAGGCATTTATTTTAAAAATTGCACCTGACTTATGTGATTAAAGATATAAAAATATATATATTTTTGGTTTAGATAAATCAGTGACTGAAATTGTTTTAGTTTTGAACTACGTTTGTGTGTGTATGTATCAGAAAATGAGAAGTGAAATTTCAAGAAATCTAAGATGACTGAGATTTCTTAATTAGACAATCAGTGAAGCAGAAAATGTTTTGGAGAAAGGAATATTGGTTGGGTATGCTGTGGTTTTTTAAAGTTTTTTTTTCTCTATCTGCAACAAATAAAAGAAGAAGAAGTTTTGTAATAGTGCAAATGGTGCTAATAAGGAAAAAGCAGAGTTTAAATGTTAAAGTAGTAAAATGATCATACATTTAGATTTAGGCCATGAAAAGGTCTTAGAGGGCATGTGATCCAAAATCAATATGATCGCCTTGATGTAGACTTTCCTAGCAATGATGCATTCTGTAGTGCATGCATACGTGCCTCTTTCTGTGCAACTCTTGTCCACATTTTCTCATAAGCTCACCACCAGAGGTCCATCCACTGAATGTGCAGGGATCTTCCTTTCTTTCTTTTGATATTGTGAGAATGCTGGTGGAGCAAATGTGTCATCCAACAGTATCTCATACTTTCATCATGTGACTAGTTCATCTTTTTCAATTCTATGTTTCTTTGATAACTTCCTTTGCTCTTCTTCTTAGTACCTTATTTACTATGTGTTTTGGCCTGTTTATATCTACCACATACTTTTCCATTGTTCTCTGAATAACATTGAATTTTAATTCTTTGAAGTCATGTTCCATGACTTTCAGCCATACAGCAGTACGAGTAGAATATTTGTATTTTGAAAATGAGCCTCTGTTTCAGAGAGCAGTTTGGAGTCATTAAAGGAGCTTTGCCTTTTTTTCTTCAGAATCCAACTAACTCTTTTCCTTTTTAATCCTGGTACTAATTCATTGTTAAATTTTCAGGATATATACCAAGTGTGTATCTTGATGCATATTCTTTCTGTTGTCCATCTAATGTGTATCAGAGTCTGGACATAGGCATTCTTTGTTTGCTTGACTTTTCCTATGGGGATGATTAGGCTAGACTCTTTTGAATGATTATGGACAACCAGGAGGCTCTACAGTGTTCTGAGACTTAATACAATCAACTTAATGTCGTTGGCAAATAGGAGTAATTAGAGGATCTTACCAACTATAGAGAATCCCTCTTCAATTTGGACTCTGTGCTAGATCTCCTTAACAGTAATGAATATATTTTAGTGGTAATAATAATTTGAATTGTATTATTATCTACACATTATTCTTCTTAATATTTAATGGATAAATCTGTAAAAATTCCTAGGATATCCGGAAGTATTTTATTGTGGAAATGTATTAAAATATTTAAATAACTTTCATGGTAAAAATTCAGTGAACATATTATGTTCTAATGAGATGTTTTATTTAAAAGTGCCTTGAAATTTTTTTAAAAAAAACCATTATGCAGATATAAGGAGTGCTGTGTTACTATTGTCTGACTGTGGTTAGCTTTCTGTTTACTTTCACCATCTAAGGTTTTATGGGTCCATCTTCTGGTTAGACCTTATGAATAAGTAGTCTCTTTTCCACGTCAGAACAATAACAACTTTCAGAATAACCTTTTGAATTAAAAAACAAACAAACAAACTATTCTTTGTATAAAGTACTTATTTTGCCCGGTGTATTGAATTATTCTTAGTACCAGTCTCTCGAGTCTTTTTTTGTTCATTTTCTCCAATAGTCATTTTTTTCTTATTTTTATTTTCATATCATGTATCTGGCTCTTGCTTATAAAATTATTTTAATTTTTGATCCTAGAGGTATACATTCACTAGACAAAACTAGAAGCATCAATCAGTAAATCTTTATTGAGTTTGTCTTATGTTCCAGGGAGAAGGAGGGAATAAATATTTCTGTAGCACCTTATATGTAACAGGCACTGTGCTAAACTCTTTATAAATATTGTCTCCTTTGATCCTCACAACAACCTTGTGAGGTAGGTGCTGTTATTATCCCCATTTTACATTTGAGGAATCAGACAAACAGAGGTTAAATGACTTTTCCAGGGTCACATAGCTAGTAAGTATCGGAGGTTGGATTTGAGTTCAGTTCTTCCTGATTCCAAGCCTAACACTCTATCTAGTATGCCACCTAGTTGTGGTAATAGGTTATACAAAGATGAAAATGACATATTCTGTTTTCTCAAGAAGCTGATATTGTATTGAGGGAGACAACTTCTGCATATATAGGTGTATACTACACGCATGCACACACACACATATACACACATATTTATATATACATGAAGTTTTTTGGGGGAGAGGGCACTATTAACTTGGGGGATTAGGAAAGGCTTTATGTAAAAGTTACCACTTGAATTGAACTTTTGAAGAAAACTGGAGATTGTAAGAGGTAGAAGGAGAAGTATGAGGGACAACTTGTGCAAATGGAATTAAGAAATTGAGTGTTGTGTGTGAGTGACAGCTACATGCCAGTTCAATTTTACTATATAGTGCATGAAAGGGAGTAATATATAATAAGGCTGGAAAGGTGGTTTAATCTGAGTGGTGAAGGAATTTATATGTAAAACGAAAGAGTTTATATAATATCCTATAGAGCCATTGGATTTTAATGAGCAAAGGAATGATGTGGTCAGACTTGTGCTTTATAAAAATCATTTTGGTAGCTATGTGGAAGATGGATCAGAAGGAGGGAGACTTGAGGCAGGGAGAAAAGATAGGAGGCTGTTATAGTATTGACTAGGTAAGAGATGATTAGATTCTGAGCTACAGTGGTAACCATGTGAGTGAAAAGAAGGGAAAATATGTGGATGTTTTGGAGGTGAAATCAACAAGACTTGCTAATTGACTAGACATGTGAGTTGAGGGAGAGGAAAGAGTAAAAATCAACTTTGAGATTATGAACCTTCCCAACTGGAAGGATGGAAATGTACCCTAGGCTGAAATATGGAAATTTGTGAGAGGGGTTAGTTGTAAGGGGAAAAGGGGAGGAAGAGAAAATAAGTTCCTACTTGGATACGTTGAGTTTGAGATGCCTTTGGACAATTAAGTTGATCATATCTAGTAGATATTTGGTGATACACGACTGGCACTTAGGAGAGAGAATTGTGCTGGATATATAGTTTTAGGAGTAATCTTTGTAGGCATGGTAATTAAACCTATGGGAACTGACCAGGTTAGCAAGTAAGAGGGTGAAGAGAGCAAAACTCAGTAGACATAGCCTTTGATGAGCCAGCAAAGGAGATTGAGAGAGCAATCAGATAGGTAAGAAGAGAATAAGAGTAGTGTCACAAAAACCCAGAGAGGAGAGAGTATCAGAAAAGAACAACTCTTATTTTCTCATGAACAAAATTCACTAATATGGACTTTTTATATGTACATAAAAGACACTAATGCAATGTTACTGTAGATTTCACAGTCATGTGCTATTCAAGCACAAGCAGTGAAGGGTGAGTCACAACAGAAGGTGCTATTTAATATTTTATGTATGACAATTATTTATAAATATTTATGCATTTGTAGTATTTTTTAATGTGAATTCTTAATACTTTCAATGTAGCAGTCTTCCCCAGGATGTCATTTTGTAGAAAGTTTACTTCTCACCTACTTATAGAGCCTTTTGTATCACAGTGGATGACGTAGTAGATGAAAGCGATGACAATGAAGACCTTGAATTAGAAGCTGAAAATGAAATTGAGAATGATGATGATATAGACCAAAATTTTAAGGTTGGTATAAATGTTTATTGTCAATTAAGTGTATACAATATGCATTATTATTGTAAAAAGAAAGTAAATTTAAATAATGACATAGAGACTCATTGCTGAACTTGTGCCTATTTTCTTTCTTTTTCTTTCTCTATATTATGGTTCATCAGTGAGAGTAAACTATTGCAAAGAGAAGTGAAGCTTTGTTTTAAGTCCTTAGAGTGGAAGGGGCCTTGAAGTGTTACCTAATTCTCTCTTTTTGGCTCTAGGAAGGACTTTAATATACGTATAATAAAAATTGTTGTACGTTTTGCTGTTTTAAAAATAAACTTTATTTCAATATTTTGCTTTTTACATCATCAGAATTTCTCTTAGCAGCTTCCCTTTCTCATATAACATTTTCTTTAACATATAACAATTAACATATATAACATATGATCATATAACAATTTCTTTAAAAGAAAAAGAGCAAGAAGGGAAAAAAATAAACTGAGCAAAACCAATGAATATATTGAAACGAAGTCTGAATGCCTGTGCAGTGCATCACATCCATAGATCTCCCACCTCTGCAAAGGATTTGGGTGGGGGAGTGTATTTTTGGGTCATACTTATTCATTGCAATTTTAGGACACTCACTTTTGGTTGTTTCATGGTAGTCCTTTCCATTTACATTGTTGTAGCGTACCTATTGCTTTTAAAGATTTTCAGGAAAGTGATTCCATGTATGTATGCATATGTGTGTGTATACACATATACATACATATCCATATACACATATTGCCACTTTGTTCTAAATGAGATTATCCTTTTGATTAGGAATTTCTTTTGTGCATTGATCTAAATAGAGTTCCTTGTGATATGGATTATAGAACATTGTGAAACTTAGTATTAATATAGAAATACTTCAAGGATCTATGAATTGGGATAGATACTCTCTCCATGACACAGCTCATATGTTTTGGTAGATGGCACTTGAGAAAGTTATTATGCCCTGAAAAATTCAGCCTACTGGGTGATGAACCTCTCTCTCTAGAACTCATTGGAAATACTTTATTTTAGATAGTGGAGTTTTTCAGAGTGCTGAAAATTAATGTTGTAAGGGCTAGAACTTAATTTAACAGTTTTTGATAGAAATATTTCTCAAGCATATGCTACACTTCCCTAACTTGTTTAAATAAAGTATATTGAATATAATTTAACCTTCCTTTGAAGTCACTATTATGGGCATTAGTGATTGTGATGTGCCAATTACATTTAGGTAGATAATGTGCACTATAGGGCTGAATAGGAACTCTGATCATCAAAGTGACCAGCCAGGATTCCAGAGGACCAATGATAAAGCATCTTTGTGGAGAGATAATGGACTCAGGGTGCAGAATGAAGTATATATTTTTGGATAGGGTCAGTGCAGTCATTTGTTTTGCTTCACTGCATATGCAGTTATGATGGTTTTATTTTTGTTTTTATTTTGTTTTTCCAATGTGTGTGTGAGTAGTTATGGGAAGGGGAGAAAATAGATTTTTGTTAATTGAAAAAATTAATTTAATTTAAAAAATAAACCTTTCCCTTCTTGAAAAAGTATCAGATTTCATTTGCTTTTTGGTTCTTTTTAGTGTATGTAAATAGCTACTTATTTAGTCTATACAACTGAATCCTGTTTATTGTTTCCATGTACACATAGTAAAAATGTTCTGTGCCTTCAAGGGCTGCAGTACTGAGGTGGAGTTTATTGTGCTATGAATAAGGCAAATTTAAAAATGAGTTATTAAATAAGTATATTTAAATTATTTCCATACGTCTCTTTGGCCCCCTAGTGGAGTTAATAATAATTGGTCATGTTATTTCTTAATTTGGGATCACAAAGCTACTGTAGATAGATAGCAATTGATATGATCAGACTCCCAACTCCTCTTGATCTCTCGGAGTGGGATATTTATTGCTTGAAATCTTCTCTGAACAGCACACAAGGTACTTTCAACTAATCCTATTTGACCACAGATTTTCCCACTTCTAGTGGATACTTTTAACCTCTCCTCCCAGAGTGGCACATAGTTTGCTTCTAATCTGTACAAAATGGACAGCCTGAATTATATGCCACACTTTGGGGAGTATGGTATGTCACAATTTTCAAAAGGGTCATGGATAGAAAAAGTTTGAGAACGACTTGTATGTTATTAAGTGTACCAAAACATTTTGTTTTGAAGCTAGACTTCCTCTGAAATACCTAAACAATTTCTCTTACAAAGTATATCTCCTCCACCAAAGATCTGGTTTATCAGTTGTTAACAGAAAGAAAGGTTGGGTCCTTTTACGTTGATAACATATTAATAACATTGACTGTTGTATTTGACCAGAATTTGTTGCCTGTCCATTCATACTACAACTACCCTAGTGAGGCCCATATCACCTCTTGACTGGATTACTGCATTTTTCTCCTAATTGGTCTCCCTGCATACAATCTCTAATCTCTCTATTTTCAGAAGGTTTTTTCTGAATCTCCAAGTTGTTATCTACTCACCTCTTCCTACCGCCAAAGAAATTACCTTTTGTGTAGATACCTTTATTTACTTCTCTGTGAACATGTATTCCCTGAGTAGACTGTAAGCTTGGGTAGAGAGACACTCTCACTCCTGGTCCTAGCATCAGTGCCTGAACAGAATTAAGCATTTGTTGATTAACTGATGACTTCATTTATGTATGTATCTGTTCTTTCACCTCTTCTTTATTTACTCTGTATCCCTTCATGCAACTCTTCTCATGTTTCTCTGAATTTTTTATTTTAAAAAATCACTGGTATAGCTTAGTTAGGTTTCTTTTAATTCAACTTTTTTTAACTGAGCTTCAAGTATATATTTTACAGTTTGACTCTTTTGAATTGGTTTGATACATGTCTTCATGCTGTGATTTTCTCTATTAAAGGACACTTAAAATGTTAAATTGGACAGATTATTAAAATAAGTAAAAATTATTGCACAATTTATTTTGCTCATCCTTTGGCTTTAATTCCATGTAGTGATTTGGATGGCATTAAATTGACAGTGCATTCTGGTTTATTAGAGGCATACCTAACCTTAATACAGTATGTTTTGATTGTTACAGAATGATGATATTGAGACTGATATTAACAAGTTAAAACCCAAGCAAGAATTAGGACGACCAATAGAAGAGCTAAAAATGTATGAACATTTTTTCCACGAACTTTCTGATGACTTTCAGGTAAAAAAAAAGCTGATTAATCCAGGTCCTTAATGTTTACTGAATTAAGAATTATTTTCTCTCTTAAATTGAAAGATATTTCCTATTTTGCTTTTCATTTTTAAAATGAGAAAGGGTTTTTTCTTAGCCATGTGACCTTGTGCAAACCAGTTAACCTCTCTGGATTTTAAGTTACTTTACCTATAAAAATGAATGGCAAAAGCTGGGAGTGGTGGCATACACCTGTGTGGTCCCTGTTACTGTGGAGGCTGAGGCTGGTGGATCACTAGAGTTTGGGAATTCTGAGCTGTAGAAGGACTAAAGCCAATTGGATATCAATATTAAGTCCCGTACCAAGATGGTGAACCCTTGGGAGTCAAGGACTACCATGCTGCTTAAGGAAGAGTGAAATTGCCCCAGTTGTAAATGATGGTCAGAACTTTCTTGCTGACAAGAAATGGGGTCTGGCCTGTGAGCGACCAATGTACTTTTAGCCTGGATAAGATAGGGGGATCTAGACCTCAAAATAAAAAAAAAGAATGGTGTAGACTTGGTTACCTTTAAGGCCTCTTTTCATCTGAAATAACTTGTAGATATACATTAACTCTACAACATTTGAATTTTTAAAATGTTTAAAAAAACTAATCATCTGTTATTATCTCCTTTCATTCAATTATACTGACATGTTAGAAGTAAGAGCTAGTTAAAAGTGATAATTAAAAACTGCTTTCATGTTATTGACATTTGCAAATAAATATGATAGTCTTTTAATTATTGTCTTTTCTGGTAATATCATGTGAAAATTATTAGAACATTTAACTTATAATTTGCTACCACTTTTAATTTATGTTAAAGGTTCTTAGTCTAATTTGCTAAATAGCTTAGCCTGAGCTAGCAGTGATTAATAGAAAAGATAAATGGAATATAAATAACCAATATTTTAGTGTGGCTTGGGGAAAGAGTTGAGTGTGTGATTTCTCCTGGCTCTGTTATGAGTAAGCTGTGTGATGTCACTAAAATTGCTTAACTTTCCTGGGCCTCAGTTTCCTAATTGTAAAATGAATATGTTAGACTAGGTGGTCTTTAAAGTTCTTTTAAAAAATTCAACAATTCTCCTTTCTTATTCCTCCAAAAGAGAGACTGAAAGTGATAGAGAGGAAAGGTAATTGAAAAGATGGTTTTTACTTTGGGGATTTCTTTACTTCAAATTTGTTAGAAATTCATTTGCCTTTATTCATAGGATGAGTTAAATAGCTGCTATGATTCTAATTGAGTATTTAGGTTGCTGCATGGAGCCGGAGATGCACTGGAATGATGAAAGGGAGAGACAACTGACCCATATCTTTAGCCTAAAGATGTACAATATGCTCAAGAGGGGAGGTCAGAGGTATCTAGGTAGGAGCAAAAGACTGAGTTTAGATTAAACTTTTTCATATCTTCCCTTTTCACTAGTGTTGACTACCAAATTACAACAAAATACTTATACATACAGAAGCTCTTACAAGCAATGGAAAAAGCTGATTCAGAGCAATAATGGGAAAATCATAAGACTGGCTACAGGTAGAGAAGGTTATTTGGTTAATTTGAATCACCTCTATAATTTAGTATAGGTGAAAAGACAAGTACATTTGAGAAGTCATATACAGTAAGTCTTAATAGAATATGGATATACAAAAATAAAAGGATATTCAAAGTAGCCATAAGGAAAAGGAGATTGCAGCTGGTACTGAGATTAGCATTCTGTTTCTTATTGTTCACCAACTCTTTTACCTTAAACAAGTAGTTTACTATAGAAATTGACTTGGTTCCTTCTGTCTGCTTATCAATACAATTCTTCACAGTGATAATTAAGTTAGATTGCACTCCACAAAGACTTAATGCTGACAGCTAACTTTCATTGTGTTGGAAGAAAAGAAGTTAATTTTAAAAGAGAGACTTTCAGAGTCTCTGCTTCTTAGTATACTCTATTTTAGGCTGTCAACTTTGAATTCTATGGCAGGTGATATGTGAAATAGTTCATTTAAGTATGTAATTGGGAAAATATATCTAATATGAAGTAGATGTGTTGTGTTCAAATAATTCTCAATTTTTATTTCAAAGAGAAATTCTTTTCTCTATTGCAGTAACCTATATGATTAATGTGTTTGAAAAATATGCAGTAAGTTTCAGTGATGTAATACAAAAAATATACTTAGAATAACTTTGTTATAAGACCAATGAGTAATATGTTTTACTGACTTATTAAAAAGACAGATTAAATGAATTTTTATGACTCTTTTCCACTTTAGCTTGCATGTTATTTCCAATATCAGTCACTTCACTTAGAAATTACTTTATTACGTTTGAACCTTCAAAGACCACAAAAGTAGAAGAAGCCACCTTTTTTCTCTAATTAAATGCCAAACTGAAAAAAATAAAAACAAAAAAACACCTTTTGAAGACAATGTATAGTAATAAACATGAGCAATTTTTAAAAAAAGAGACTTCCATGATTTTAAAACCAAGAGTGCCACCACTCAATAATTATTTGGAACCATGAGTGGTGGAGCAGTAGGAGTAAAACGAAGAATGTCTGTGGGCCAGGTGAGGCAGTCACCAATTAGGAGAGCAGGAGCCCAAGGCAGAAGTTCTGAAGATGAAGCTAGCTTTGTAGATCAGTTACTACTTTTTCCTTTAAGGGTACCATCATCTTTCCAGTCACTCAAGTTCACAATCTCAGTCACCTTCAGCTCTTCCCTTTTCTTTGCCTCTCATATCCACTCAGTTGGCAAGTCTCATCAGTTTTGTCCCTACAACAATCTTTCATGTTGTTGTGTTCTTTCCTGTCGTATCAACACCACCCTAGTCCAGGTCCTCACCTGGACCCAGCACTTGGCATGCAGCATTTGCTTAATGAATAAACGCCTTGTCGATGGTGATGATGGACTTTTGAAAGAGTTTTCTAAGTTGTCTCCTTGCCTCAAATCTTTCCTATCTCCAGCACATCATCCACAACTGCCAGATCGATATTCCTTTTAGCATGAGTCTGACTTCCTTGAGCAAAAATCTGCAATTGTTCCTTCTTGTCTCTAAGGTAAAATTTAAACTTTTTTGCAATGGATTCAGCCTCTAGTCTGGATCGAGGCTATTGTTCCATGCTTATTGTGCCATGCTTATTGTACCTGATCTCCGTGGTCTACCCAAACCAATTTACTTGTTATATTCAGCATAAGATGTTTTATCTGTATCTCTGCCTTTGCACAGGCCTTCTTCCAAACCTGACCTATACTTTTCCTTTCACCCTTTGGCTTTCAAAATCCCTAACTTTCTTCAAGGTCCCATTCAAGAGCACCTCCTATAAGAGTCTATTCTGATCTTCCCCTCTCCAAGTTATTCATGTACTCCCCACCAAATTACTTTGTATCTATTCTACACTTAATTTTCCTCTGTATTTGTTGTTTCACCTAAACAGAACATAAATTCCTTTAAGACAGAAACTGTTTTGTTTCTTCTTTGTGTATCCTTACCACCTAGAATAATGCTTGAGTCACAGTAGGTACTTAATAAATGTTTATTGAAGGATGGAATAAATTAATGAAAGTAGAGATATGTTTGTCATAGAAAAAATTACAATAAGTATTTTTTAAAAAATTGAATATTTGAGACAAGCAAGAGATTAAGATAGCAACTTGGCCTCTGGTAGCCTGGATGTTGGAGTACTTGAGTTGCACTACATTTTTATGGGATTTTCAGAATTGTTCTCCTTTTCTGTGCATTCTTGTTTCTTCAATTTTCATTGTCCTATAGATAATAGGAATTTCCCTTTTGAGGAGAGAAGGTTTACATTCACAGTTCCTGGAACTTAACTACTATCTAATTTTTTTTTTAGATATTTATAATTATAGGACTAAGGCTGATGTAGTTTCATATTTCATCTGTGAGCATATTTTATAACTTCTTACTTTAGGTTTTTGGCATCTCTGTTCTCCCAGTTTATCACTCCTGTTCTGGCTTCACTTACCTTTCTTTTAGAATCTTGACTTTATAAAGTTAACTATTTCAATAAGGGGATTTGATGAGGTGACTTTTCCCCTCATGATGATTAAAATATTTATATATTTCTCTAGCTGCCTATATATTTGATTTTTGAGATTTTTTTTGGCATCTCTTATTCAAGAAGATGAGTAACTTCTTAATATTTTCATTTTCTTTTAAAACCCTCTAATTTTGAGGAAAAATTAAAGACACATTGCTTTATTCTTACACTCTGATTTTAAAGTGCTCAATATACTTTATTTTTTCCTAATCTCAGATCTTAGATTTCATTGGTATAAGGAATATCTTGGTAAGAGATCTTCCTCCATTAATGTATATCAGCAGTTGGTCTTCAGTTTTATAGTTTGAGAGTATTTCCTGAGGTAGCAGAGAGGGATAAGTGATGTGTTTGGGGGCATACAGCCAGGATGTGGCAAAGGTGGGACTTGAACCCAGATTTTCTTCACTCTGAGGATAACTCTAAGCAGTGCTACCACTTGTCTGTGATATTATTATAATACACTATGAAATAATTTTAATGCTATCTTTATTTTTGCTAAAATACTTGACTGTATACTGGTAATTTTTTTTCATCATACTTTTTGTTTTTGAAGGAATGTGATTTAATTGCCAAAGAACCAAAGCCCTTGGCAAAGGAAGGAAATCTAGGTGGACCTATTGTTGTTCCTACAGCAGGAGAAGAGCCACCTGTGGAACCAAACAGTCTAACAAATTCAGTGAAAAAGAATATCATTTCACAAAAAGAAGAAGGTGATAAACAACCTGCCTTTTTAGACCTAGCAAAAGAAGATATTAAAAATGATAGTAGTCCATTGCAGCTACAAGAAGGTGATCAAAATAGAACAGTTTCATCAAGCCAGTATCTCACTAGTGACCTAGTGAAGGCCTTGGACCGAATAACACTGCAGAATGGTCCCCAAACTTCCCAGAGCTTTACTGCCGGAATAAAGAAAGATTCCAGTCCTCACCTTACCTCCATTACGTGCACTAAAACATGTCCGCATATTTCTACTTGTGGAAATGTGCTCTTTGAGGGACGGACTGTTCAACTAGGAAAGCTATGCTTTACTGGAGTTGAAACTGAAGAAGATGATGATTCTGCATCTAACTCATCAGTGGAGCAAATGTCAATTGAAGCACCCAACATGACACCACTCCATGATTCTGATCTATATGTTGAGATTGTGAAAAATACTAAATCTGTTCCTGAATATTCAGAAGTGGCTTATCCTGATTATTTTGGTCACATTCCACCTCCATTTAAAGAACCTATTTTAGAAAGACCCTATGGTGTGCAAAGGTGAGTAGTCTTTGTTTTTCCTCTAAAAAAGGACAGTTACAATATTAATAATGACTATTTTTCTTAATTTTCAAAGATAATTAATTATATTTCTTATATTTGGCTCATGTTTAGGAAGAAAATTACTTCAGAGGGAAGTTATTAGCATTCTTAGCCTAACAAATGCAAGCACATTCTGAAATTTAATCTTTATTAATTAAAAAAGTTGAACATTTATAATTAGGATACCATGTAGAAGAAACTAGAAATTGGCCATTTCAAAAATATCTTCATCCATTATTAAGTTGCAAAATGTTAAAATTTATTGTTTGACCAATTTTTGGCAGATATTCCTTAAAAAATAAATAGTTCATTTCCATTGTCCCTTGTATTTCTGTCTTAGGCATGCAAATTGGAAATAAAATATCAAATGAAAGACCAGATACGTTGTACTAATGTGTTACATTTTAAATTTGAGGCTAGAAATTTGCAATAAAAAGAAAATATGAAATTAATCTAAGAAATAACTATAGCAGGTGTGGTGGTACACACCTGTAATCCTTGCTATGGGGAAGTTGAGGCTGAGCTAATTTGGTGTCCACACTAAGTCCAGCACAAGTATGGTGAGCTCCTGTGAGCCTGGGGCCACCAGGCTACACATGGAGGAATAAACCAGCCCTGGTCAGAGCCTTAGTGCCAGTAAGTTATGGAATCAGGCACTTCTAATCAGGGCAAGATAACAAAATCTAGTCTCTTGTCACCTGACTGCAAACCCCAAATAAATGAATAGAAAGAAAGAGAGAAGAAAGAAATAATTGAAGTGATTTATCTAGTGATGTCAGGTAGGTGATGGTTTGTATTTATAAGGCAGAGGTTTATAAGTGATTGGCTGGCTTAGTGGGACTAATGACTGGACCATTTTATTGTGACTACAGGTGAGATTTTTGATAGTCATTTATCATTGAAAATATTAAGCATTTACTTGTTTATGGTCCCTTTCTAGGTGATAGTACTAACTGTAAAAAGAAATATTTAAGAAAGTTTGTAGAGTATGAGATGTGGTAGGAGATTTTTCCTGGAATTTTCTTCCTCTTCATCAATGAGCATTTTCCCCTAGGGGTTAAAACACAAAAAGTGAATAGCCTCTATCCTCAAGGAGCTTGTTTTTAAAGCCTTTTAACAAATTCTAGATAATTCTACTGCAAAAAAGAAAAATGTTAATAATATTTATAAATCCCATATTCCACATATTTTATGAACTTGTTTCATGAATAAAACAATTACGTGTGTGTGTGTGTGTATGTATGTATGTATGTGTATGTATGTAATAAACAAGTGTTCAGGGCTGCCTTTCCTTCACCCAAGAGGTTGACCAGAACCAAGAAGGTCAGTTCTAAGCCTTTGTTATGCATACACAAGACATAAGCAGATTAAAAAATGCTTTAAAGATATCATATACAATAATGATAGTACTTGCTAAATTATTCCATGAATAAAAACAATAGTGTTTAAAGCTGTCTTAATGACTTCAATTTTTACTGAAGATTTAGTGGAATAATATATTTATTACTAAAAGATGTAGACAATAAGAAAGAAATTGTAAATTATGCATTATAGTATGTTTGTGCATAGACTTACTGGTCATTTTGATTAGCAAATTATATTTTCAATAATCAAAATAATATAAGACAAAGCTATATACACATTATAATTTCTGATAAAAATACCTATCAATACTTCATTGCTCTAAGTTTTGAAGTATTCAATTTAACAAACATTTACTAAATGCTTACTACATGCAAGGCACTGTGCTAGGCACCTGGAATGTGGAAACCAAGATGAAATAGCCCCTGCTGTCAAGGAGGTCTGGGGAAGGATGCAGCATGTGTTCAGATAAGAGAATACAAAATAGACTTTTATAACACCACAAAATTATAAATTACCTCAAATATTTCTTCATAAATTATCTTCATCTTTCAGTTATTTACTTCTGATAACAAGTGTGGCTGACAGCTCAGGATCTCCTGCCATCTAGTGGCAAGAGGCTATACAATTAAGAATAGGAACTTGTGCTAAGGAAAGCTTTAGACATTCTTTTAATGTGTAGTACCTGAATCATTGTAAATGAATTTAAAAGTACTAGAACCCCCATCTTAGGAAATGCTGTTAGACATTGGAATGCCTTATGTAACGTTAGAGAGTCTCTGAATTTTGAGTTGGAAGGGATCTTTTCAGCCATCTAATTCAACTCGTATCTAAAAGGTGTAACTACTATAACAGTCCTGACAATTTGTTATACACCTTCGACTAGAAGACTTCTGTGGAGGGAAACCCATCATCTCCTTGGGTAAAATATTCCACTTTGTGATAGCTCTAATTATTAGGAAACTTCTTGACACTAAGCCTAAATTTACCTTTTTGAAACTTTCACCTTTCACCTAACTTTTGAGACCAGAAAACAAGTCTGATCCCTCTTCTGCATGAGAGCCCTTGAACATAAACATTATATTCCTCCAGACAGAGTCTTCTCTGCTTTAGGCTAAATGTCTTTAATATCCTCAAATGATCCTCATATGACAGAGACTCACTGTCTTGGTTGCCCTCTCCATCTTGGTTGCTCTCCAGCTTATCAGATTTCCTTCCTAAACTATGAATCCAGAACTGAACATCTGCTCCAGAGGTGGTCCTACCAAGGCATGAAACAGTCACTGCCATGTCTGTATTTTGGAAGTTTTGTCTTTTCTACTGTAGCTTAAAGATGACATTGACTTATTTGGCCACCAGATATTGAATTCTCAGTCCACTAAAATACTCATGTCATTTTTTTTTATACCAGATATTTTCTAACTGTGCCTCCCTCAACTTGTATTTGTGATGTTGATTTTTTTTTTGGTATCCCTGTAAAGCTTTAAAGTTATTGTTATTGGATTTCACCATATTAGATTCAGTCCAATGCTCCAGTCTATGAAGACCTTTTTGGATCCTGACACTATCATCCTCTGCTATTAACAAACTCTTCCAGTTTTGTGTCATCTGAAAATTTGACAAGCATGTCATTTATGCTTTTATTCAAGCTATTGTTAAAAATATTAAATAGCACCATGCTATGCATAGATTTTTGGTGTGTTCCACTAGACACCTCTTATATTGATTTTAAACAATGATTAGTCCTTTAGTCTAGCTGTTCAGTCAGTGCTGGCTATCCATTATCTACCACACATCTCTGTCATTTCCATAAGAAAGATATGAAGTAATTTAGCAGATATTTTGTTAAAATCATGATAAAATCTATCTCTAGTATTTCCCCTTCAAATACTTTCAAAACTCTTTGAAAAAAGAAAATAAGTCTAGTTTGGCACCTCTTCTCGATGAAGTCATGCTAGCTTTCTTTGATCACCAGTTCCCTTTCTAGATGTTCTTTAACCACTTCTTTTTAATAACCAATTCTAGAATTTTCCTGAGAATTACATTCAAGCTTACTGATTTGTAGTTTCCAGACTCTATCATCTTCCCTTTTTTAAAGAATGGAGCAATTCAGTTCTGTAGCACCTCTTTCTTTTTTTGAGCTTTTAAATATCACTGACAGTGGTTCAGCAACTACAACTGCCAGTTCCTTCAGTACCCAGGAATGTCAACCCGAGGTTGAGGTGACTTGAATTCTAGGGCAACTAGGTGCTGTCTTTCTTTTTTTAAAATTTAAAATTTTTTTTCCTTTAATATAAGTTTATTTATTTTTAGTTTTCAACATTCACTTTCACAAGTTTTTGAGTTCCAAATTTTCACCCCATCTCACTCCTCCCCCCGCCCCAAGATGGCATGCATTCTGAATACCCCTTCCCCTGGTCTGCCTTCTCTTCTATCTCTCCCCCCTTCCTTCTCTTATCCCCTTCCCCTTCTATTTTCCTGTAGGGCAGGATAGACTTCTGTACCCCATTTCCTGTATTTCTTATTTCCCAGTAGCATGTGAAAACATTTTTTTTAAACATATGTTTTTAAAACTTTAGGTTTCAAATTTTCTCTCTTCCTCCCTCCCCACCCACCCTCATTGAAAAGGCAAGCAACTCAATATAGGTTGTACATGTGCAGTTATGCAAAACACTTCCATAGTAGACATGTTGTGAAAAACTAACTCTATTTCCCTTAATCCTGTCCTACCCTCCCATTTATTCTATTCTTTCTTTTGACCCTGTCCCTCCTCAGAAGTATTTACTTCTGATTACTGCCTTTCCCAATCTGCCCTCCTCTCTATCATCCCCCTGCTCTCTTGTCCCCTTCTCCCCCTATTTTCCTGTAGGGTAAGACAGATTTCCATACCCAATTGAATGTGTATGTTATTCTCTCCTTAAGCCAAATCCTATGAGAATAAGATTCACTCATTCCCTCTCACCTTCCCCTATTTCCCCTCCACTGTGAGACTTTTCTTTTGGTTTTTTTTTTGTGAGATAATTTACCCCATTCTACCTCTCCCTTTCTTCTCCGAGTATCATCCTCTCTCATCCCTTAATTTTATTCTCCAGATATGACCCCTTAATCTTCAACTCACCCTGTGCCCTCTATCTATCTATATATAATACATACAATTTTTTTCCTTCAACTACCCTAATACTGACAAAGTTCTCATGAGTTACAAATATCATCTTTCCATGCAGGAATGTAAACAGTTCAATCTTAATAAGTCTCTTATGATTTCTCTTTCCTGTTTACCTCTTCATGTTCCACTGGAGTCCTGTATTTGAAAGTCAAATTTTCTGTTTAGCTCTGGTCTTTTCATCAGGAATGCTTGAAAGTCCTCTATTTCACTGAATGACCATTTTTTCCCCTGAAGGATTATACTCAGTTTTGCTGGGTAGGTGATTCTTGGTTGTAATCCTATCTCCTTTGCCCTCTGGAATATTATATTCCATGCCCTGCGGTCCTTTAATGTAGAAGCTGCTAAATCTTGTGTTATCCTGATTGTGTTTCCACAGTACTTGAATTGTTTCCTTCTGGCAGCTTGTAATATTTTCTCCTTGACCTGGGAA